AGCGTCACCTCCTGAGGGAAGCTGCTTGTTCCTCACTCACTTATCCTTCCCCATCTGCATCCTCTCATCAGCACAGCAGTAGATGCATTGCTGTCTGTTAGCCAGGTTCATTGTTATTAGACCCCTCTGTGGACCGACACACAGAGGAGCTGCTTTCCAACATGTGCAGTGTATCCGGGGCAGCCTGTTCCTCGGCACACTGGGTACAGCAAGTGTCCCAGCCTTGTAGTGACTGGTCCCTGTGTTCAGGCCTGCAAAGCTGTGCTGGGGGCAGCCTCCACACTTGCCAGGAGCTGGGGCAGGGGATGGATGGATGGATGGATGGATGTTTGCCCAGACCAGCTTGCCTGCTGTCTGTGTGCTGTGCAGACAGCAGAAGCCCAGGCTGGCTGCAGCATGAGCTCCTGGGGCAGCCCCTAGAAGGGCTTTTTCTCCCCTGTGCCCTGTTCCTGGACGCACAAGCTCTGATTTATCTGGGGCAGCAGCATGGGAGTGTTGTGGGTAGCTCCTGCCCTACCCCCTGGGATCATCTGTGGCACCTGGCTGAGGGTGAGTGTGACTGTGCATGTCCCCAGGTCGTGCCCATGCTGTCCCTAGGAGGTCACAGTCTGGCTTTTTGGTGAGTGCCTTTGTCCCTGCCCTCCTCTCCAGATGATCGATGGTGAGGCCTTCCTCCTGCTGACGCAGGCTGACATCGTCAAGATCATGAGTGTCAAGCTGGGCCCCGCACTCAAGATCTACAATGCCATCCTCATGTTCAAGAATGCTGATGACACCTTAAAGTGACTTTTCTCCACCCAGCTGGGAACCCTCCCTTAGCACCGGTGCTGCCAAACTGGTCAGGACAGAGATTCCCCCCGACTGACCACAGCTTGTCATGTCCTGCTCATGTCCTCCCGGGTGCCGCATCTCTGCTCTCCCACCAGTCCATCTCCCACCCTCTCCTCTCCACTCCACACTGCCCTTCTCCTCCAGCGCCGGGCAAAGGCTGGCCCCAAGCCTCGGGGGGGCTGCAGGGCAGGGGGTTGATGTGGGACTGGCCTCTCTTAGTGTGACAGCAGCACCCGGTGTCCCACTGTGACTGCTCCAGTTCGGGGGGTGTTGAGGGACGGGGGAGCAGTGTGGAGGGTGTAGCAGCTGGGGGCTGACACCACTAGTCAAGTCACCCAGGTGAGGGAAGGACTGACTGCCTGCATTTGTCCTTGCACCCGTTTAAAGGCTGGTCTTGGCTTTGCTCAGCAGCTGAGAGAGGTTTTGGTTTTTTACCCCAGTGTGTTCCTCTGGGAGGGGGCTTGTGCTGACATCATTTCCCAGGGACACTCTCGAGGAGCTTCTGCTCACTTTGCCTTTGTCTCTTGAATTCTTTTGACTTTCCCATTTTAAGGCCAGATGATGACTTTGCTTTGCTCCTTCACTGTTCTGGGAACCAATGGCCCAAGTCTTGTCCCTTCCAGGGAGCACCATGTCCTGGCTGCTGCTCTGCCTATAACCAGTGTCTCTGCTTTATTCCTCTTTATGGTGATGCAGCACTCCAGGGCCCCACAGGGCCAGGGTTGGTGGGTGCAGAACAAGCTTTATTTCCTCTTGGGCCTCAAGCTGTCTTGGCCAGCACATCTCTGGGAGAAAGGAGGCTTGGCTGACTTGTTCCCCTTTCAGCAATTAGAAAATGCTCTGCAAAGGACACTTGGGCCCTCTTTGTTCCACATGTTGGGAACAAGGCCCTTTCTAGAGCAGAGACAGCTGCCAAGGACAAGAAGTATCCATTCCTCCATAGGCACATCTGCTTCTGAAGGTGTTCCCGAGTTTGCTGACTCAATCCTGCCAAGCCATCTTCTCCCCCTTTATTGCCCTCACAAGGCCCCCAGGTTTTGCTGTTTGAAGAGCAGTATCTTCTGCTGTGCTTGGATCCCTTACCTGCAGAGCTAAAAGAGATTCAGCAGTTAACTGGGTTTCTTTCTGTCCCTTTAATAAGGAATACCTTTTCAACAAGGGTGCAGGCACTTCGGGATTGCTCTCCCTTGTAATGGGGTCTAGGACTCCAAAGCCAGGAAAGCCATCATGCCCACGGGTTCTGTGATCCGAGTCCCACATCCACTTTCTTTCTCATTCCCAAGAAGGACATATCAGTAGCAAAACATTTTTTTCCCCGTTTCCCAGTGCCCAAAGACAGGGATGAAGAGACCATAGCAAGCACACCAGCAATGTGTTTTAGAGCAGCACTGCCTTGGGAGCCACTGTCACACCTGGCTCAACCTGCTCAAGGCTTCCCATGGAAATGTAGCACTTTGACTCTTTGTTACTGAATATTTGGGGTCACATTTGACCTGCTCTTGAAACGTCTGCTGCTTGCTCTTCACACAGGACTTGCAACTAGTCTGTGTGTTTGTTTTGTCAATGCTTGGGTTTGACTTAGGCAGCTCCCCCTCTCCTTTCCTTTTGTATGTTCTTCCATCTCTTCAAGCACTGCATTGTGGCCAGCTGTGGAGAGAGGGGGAGTGGGAATAACAGCCGTGTCTCTGGCTCCCACAGTCACTCCCCAGGTCACTCTTGATCCACAGTAAATGGTCCTAACGTTGGTCTCTTCACTTGATGGGGAGTCTCTCTCTGGGCCAGTGTGTGCTGGGGTGAAGGAAGAGGAGCCCCTGGGCCTTGAACTGTGAGACACTGTGAACAGTGCTGGGACTCTCCAGGTGGGATCTGGAATGGAACAGCTCCTTTCACAGGATGTGGTTACTGAGCTTGTGAAGAATCATCATACAAAAGCATCCTAATCTCATCTGCTCCATTGCCATCATGCTAACTCATTCCTCCTATTGGGGAAGGGACTAAGCCCTGCCCCTGGGTGCTGGGAGAGGAGATGCTGCCCTGGTATTGGATCTGAAACCAGCATGAAGGATGGAGACCCTCGTGCTGCCCTGGGGAGCAGAGGTGGTGGCGAGCTCAGAAGATCCCTGCCAAAGGGGAAGAGGAGCTATGAGCCACACCATGGCTGACCCACAAGACTCAGTACAACCAACACCATCAGCTCTTGCTCTGCTGTTGTGTGCGATAAAGCCGTGCTCTGCCTGGGCACCGGCAGGAAGCTCTGCCCATGGGGTGCTGCCTTACTTGGGCTCTTTTGACCTCCCTCTGAGTGAGCATCACAAACCAGACAGCGCTGCCGAGGTGCTCCCCTTGGCTCTGGGGTCTGCTGGTGTGGTTGGACCCCAGGTCTCTGTGCAGGGAGCTGCTGCCAGGAAAACTGGCCCCAATGGAAGGATGGTGCGAGGCCTCTGTCACACACACTCACCCACTGTCTCCAGCACCACTTCATCAGCCTCTCGGGCCGACTCAGCCATTTGGGTACAAAGCTTCTGGATTCATCTGGGTGAGAGTTACAGGGTTTTTAGGTGGTCAAGGGCTATTTACTGTTAAAACTTAGAACCTTCTTGTTTTCTTTAAAACCAAACCCAAAGCATCGTGTGTGTGTGTGTGTGTGTATGGGTGTTTGTGGAAGTACCACAACACCATTTCCCCTCCTGTTGATGCGTCGTGGTTTTAATGTAGTGGTCTCTGTGGCTGTGGAGGCAGCAGGCTCTGGGTCAGGGTCTCGGGTGATGTGTCCTCTCTGAGCAGAAGTTGTCTTTGGTCCCAGCAGGAAGTCAGAAGGAAGGTTTGCTGCACCCTTGGCCTTGGCAGGTCCTCCATCTCCACAGAGCATTGACTGGGAGTCTCCCCTAAGGTAGCATCGAGGGCAGCTGTGACCAAGGCAGAAGCACCAAAGTTTTTTGTCCTTCCCCTGTTGCCCAGCCAAACTCCTCAGGGGGATGTTCACTGCCGTGTCACTGAGGCACTGGAGAAGGACAGTGGGGCTGAGTGTGGCCCATAGGTTCCTCCCTGGGCTCTTTCTGAGAGATGTGACTGCAACCCAGGTTTCTATGTCAATGAAGACTTGTTAAAGTCATGGATTTTTGGGTGGAGGACCCCAGCCTGTGCTCTTGCTGCTCTTGTTGGCTTTGGGAGATGTCCCACCATGTGCTCCACACTGGGCACAAAGTGTCTCTGGGGCTGTGGTTCATGGGAGCAGTTGGAGCCTCTCGGGAAGGTGTTTCTCCCTCCTCATAGAAATGGGCAGCATCGTGGTGGTGCGAGGCCAAGGTCTCCATCTCCATGAGAGCAGCCAGAAGGGTGGCCACGCCGGCCTCTGCCTTCCCCTGGCGCCTTCCACGTCCATCACAGGCACTTTGAGACAGACAGAAACCTCCACATGGCCTCAGAAGAGGGTTGGCAGAGTTTTTGCAGCGGCAAAGCCGGAGCTGTGAGTGCAACTGAGGGCTCTGGAGAGGAGGAGGGAGCTGGGAGAGGGATGTGACTTGGCTACTTCTGCTCCCTTGTTCCTCACTCAGTCTCTGGGAGGAGAGGGGAGGTGCGGGGAGCTGCAGCCCTGCCCTTCCTCCAATCCACCGCTTCCCTCTGGGGCCTGTGGCTGCTTGTCCCTGGAGAGGGCACAGGGGAAGGTGCATCGGGGCAGGAGCCTGGTTCTGGCAGCAGAAGCTTTTTTGCACTTTCATTCATTTTGCACTTGTTTTTTAATTTCTTTCTCCTCCCCACCCCCATTTTTGATATTTGTGTTTTCATAACAAAACTACTTTTGTTGTAGCCAGTGAAGCTATTCCGGAACTTTGTGTCCTGAGTATAAAGAGGTTTAAAGGTCCTATATATATAAATTTATAGCTGTCTAAAAGTAAATTTATATATATAGATGACGGCGTGATGTGTTTCGTCAGTGTTTTAAAGTAATAAACGACTGTGAGCGGTGGAAGTCTTTGCAGCTGGACACTGGTTATTCAGCCCTGGTGACAGAAGGAAAGGGACAGACACCCCCCCGCATGCACCCCCTGCCGTCGGGTCTCCCTCTTCCATCCTGCCCAGTGCCCCCGGAGCCAGCCGATGGGGAGTGATGGTTTATCCCATTGTGAGGAGATGCTGGAGGAATCCCAGTGCTCCCATCCTGGTCCCAGTCACAGGGAGCCCTGGGTGCAGGGAGCAGCGCAGCCGCCTCTCCCCCCGAGCCACATGCAGCAGTGGCTGTGCCTGTCCTCGGCCACAACGAGCCCCAGCAGGACCAGGACGGCAGCGCCCAGGGCCAGGCGCACCACATTGCTCCAGGTGTAATCTGCAGGGGACAGGAAGGGACAGTCACTGGGGACCCCCCACAAGAGAGCTGACAGACCAAAGGAGCCCTCCCATAGGGGCAACAGTGAACCCAAAGGGGACAGAAGGGGCACATGTGGGGCTCCCAGGGCAGACAGACACACAGACAAGGGGATACTGCTGGGCTAAAGAGGGATAAAGGGTTCACAGGGAGCCCCAAGGGCTCTACCTCCCTCATCCCTGCCCCTGAGACACCCCCTACCACAGCCTCTTACCTGCCCCCCCGCCCCAGTGGCACCAGTGACAAAGAGGAGGACAGGGACATGGAGCTGGCCCTCACCCGCCCGTGCCAGGCAGAGGGTGCCACTGGTCTGTGAGAAGATGTACAACTGTCCCTGGGACCCCTGCCCAACCCTGTGTCTGTAGGTCATCTGTAGGGTCTCTGAGGAGCTGGCAAGGCTCACGCACGTCTGAAGGAAGCTGTAATCCTCTGCTTGGACCCCTATTACACCTGCTTCCGTCCTCCACATCCTCTTTTCTAGTTCCCCCAGGATGTGGTAACGGAGGAAGGGAAGGGTTGGATGCAGCTGGAGGGGATGTCTCACCTTTCACCACCAAATCCAGACTATTGCTGACATCAGACCAGTTCAACAAAGCACCCCTGGTGAAGCACTGGCAGCTGTAGCGGCCCTCGTTGCCTTTATGCACACGGGAGAGGTTGAAATCATCTTGATCCTTCGGAAGTAAGTCAAGGGCTTTGTCCTGGCCCTCCAGGTACAGGAAACAGCCAGCACTGGAGTGTGTGATGGTGCAGCGGAAAGTCACGTAAGCTCCTGCAGGCACCTCAAGTCCAGGCAGGACAGAGAGGACAGGTCTGGGGAGATGGAACTCTGTGGGGAGAGAAGAGGGCATGAGAAGGTGTGCTGGGAGCCACCAGCATCTCCATGACACCACCATCTCACTTAAGCAGAGGTAAAGATGGTCCCCACCTCTCCAAGCCAAGGAAGAAGGGAAAAACCCTGCCCACCATGTGGATGGGGAAGCCAAGAGGCTACGTGCATCCCTGTGTGCCCCCAGCCTGACCCCATGTGAAGGGGTAACAGCACATCCCTCACCATACACCATGACTTCCAGGGTCTCGCTGCGAGCCAGCACAGTGCCTCCAGCCAGGTAATGGCAGCTGTAGGGACCTGCGTCCTCTTGGGTGGCATTAGAGATGGGGAACTCGGCCCTGCCACCACGCAGCTCCAGGGCACGGAGCTGATGGCCGTGCTTGTACAGCACAACATTCCCATCGTCACACTGGCACCTGCAGCAGATGGTGGTGGAGCCTCCCGGTGGGATCACCCCAGGCGGCTTCAGGAAGATAGAGATGGTTGGGGCATCTGCACAGGGAGAGAGATGCTGCCACACAGACACGAGTCCTCAGCGCCCGCTGCCCCGTGGCGAGCCTGGAGGTGGCTTCAGGCCCCACCTCCACACAGGGGCCAGTTTTGTTCTGTGGAGCTGAGGAAGAGCCCTGGGAGACGGGTGAGGGACCAGAGACGTGTCCAAACTCCCCGTCTACCTCCTCATGATACTCACCAGCTGCAGCCTTGCTCTGTACCACCAGCCAAGTGCCTGCAAGAGAAGCAGCTGTGTAACATCTCTGTGGAGTCTCTGGATGCCTCACATCACCCTCTGAGAGCCCACACAGCCCCTGGCACTCACCGAAGGCCAGCACATGGGTCACAGGCAGCACCATGTCCCTCTTGGCTCCCTCTATCCTTGGCTCAAGCAGAGGAAGGCTTTGACTGGAGGCACTGAGCAACTTCTTGTGGGTCCTGATATCCCTCTGCTGCCACAAACCACCTTCTGTTCCACAGCTTGGGCTTCTGTGGACACAACTGCAGCTGGGATGATTGAACGGGAACCAGAGTGTCCAAGTCACCTATCCAGAGCTGGGCATCTGTGACGACGTGCTCTTAGGATCCTGCAGACCTTAGGAGTGAAGCTCTCTGGGCTGTTCGTTTCTTTTTTGGTCCTAGTCACTTGATCGGGAAATGGTTCTTCTCAGCCTTTGCGAAATAGGGTGATGTTTTGTAACTGGGGCGGGGAGAAGCTGCAGGACTCCCGAGTCTTCGTGAGAATGGTCCAACAACACATGACACCATAAAATTGCTGGTTTAGTAAGACAAAATAAAAAGGGGATGTGGAATGCAAGTAAATCTTAGATCCATTTGGAGGCAGGACACCCCACTCTCCCGCAGCACCAATGGAGCCCATTTGTGGAGATGTCCCTAGCATCTGAAGGGATGTAAAATCTTTGTTCTCCCTTTTTCTTCTATGCCATTAAAACAGGTATTTTATTACTCCATTTGTTGTCAGATCTTTCTTGCTGAGGTCAGGGAAGTCCTCTGCACCATGTCATGTGCCCTTGTCATGCCCAGAAACCCTGCATGGTGCCCCCTGCCACAATGCAGACCAGCTGGTGGAGAGGGAAAGGATTCTATGGCTCATAAAATCCCAGCCTGGTTTGGGCTGCAGGGACCTTAAAGCTCATCCAGTTCCAACCCACTGCCACGGGCAGGGACACCTTCCACTAGAGCAGGTTGCTCCAAGCCCCTGTGTCCAACCTGGCCTTGAACACTGCCAGGGATGGGGCAGCCACAGCTTCTCTGGGCACCCTGTGCCAGCGCCTCAGCACCCTCACAGGGAAGAGCTTCTGCCTCAGAGCTCATCTCAATCTCCCCTCTGGCAGGTTAAAGCTGGTCTGGCCACAGGCTATGTCCAGGACGTGATCTTCCCCGTGACTATGGCACAAGTTTTGTGACTCCACAGAGTGGAATAGGAAGGAAGTTACTTGGCTTCCCTTCTGGCTCTTTTCGGCCTCCTCCCTTTTCATCCCACCTTTTCATCCCACCTGGCCTTTAGTGTCTTTCATTGGAGGAGGGACAGCGATACTAGCAATTTTTTCTACCTGTAGGTCTGGATCCACAGGGTTGGCCCCATTCCTCACCCATCTAGGCCTCCCCTGGTCCTTACTCCAAATAACTGCTCACCACCAGCACAGCTGGAGCCTGGCCTCCAGCCTCAGCTGCCTGGTCTGGGTTGGCCAGTGCTGTGGACAGAGTTCCCTTTGGCAATAATGAAGGGTTAATCAAACAGGGGAAGTTGTTTGCACCTTTGGGTGATGTGGGAGCAAGGAGAACAGGGAAAGGATGGGTTGTGGGACTGTTCCCCACTGCCTGTGGCCCTGAAGATGCCTTTCTCAGTGCTCTCCAGGTCCTTGTATCCTCCCATTCCTCCTGTCCCCACACAGTTGTTGGGGGATGTCCTTGGCTGCCTGTTCATGGGCACCCAGGTTCCCCAGGCAGGGACCCGTTTGAAGAAGTCAGGTGAGCTCATGGTTACCTTTTGACCAGGGGCATGGGGAGCTGGAAGAGAGCCGCTAAGCTTTCCCTTTCATCAATCCCACCACAGCCCTTCAACCCATGGCCGTGTCTCCCCCATCCCACAGCAATCCCATCCCACAGACACGTCCCAAAGTTGTCCCCTCCCAGCTATGTCCTACATGTACCCATCACCCCATATATATGCTCCGCTTCCTCCCTACCCCATCTCCATGTTCACCCCACTCCACTGCCCTGTCCTCCATGTCCGCACCATATAGCCACACGTCAGTGTGTCCCTGACCTATAGCAATTCCAGCTATGTCCCCACATGCTATGGTGACATGCCCCTCCTCACAGCAATCCCACCCCATAGCTGTATCCCATGTAACTCCATCACCCCATAGCTGTATACCCATGGGTCCCACCTCATTGCATGGCCCCATGGCCACCTGCCCTATAGCCTTATCCCCATGGTCTTGTGGGCCTCACTGCCATATCCCAGTGGACCCCATCCCACCACTGTGGTCTTGCATGCCCTGAATCATATTCCTATGGCTCTTGCCCCGTAACCATGCCCCCAAAGCCCTTCCCCATGGCCATGTCTCCACCACAGCCATGCTTCCAGAGTACTCTGTGCAATAGACATATTCCCATGAATCTCTGACCCACTGCCATACCCCAGTAGCCCCATCCCTA